GGAGTGAGACTCAGAAAGCTTGTGTTTTCAAATAAACCTTTTGGACTATAACCTGGAGTCGTGTGATTTTTGACCTTCAAGAAATGGGTAAGAGAAAAAGCAGGAAACTATAGGTCAGTTAACTGGAAAACAGCAGCATGGAAAATGCTAGAATCTATCATTTGGGACATGATTGCACTTAAAAACACATAGTATGGTTGGACAATCTGGACAAATTTGGAGCTAATAGAATTAGGTCTTAGGATGGATTGAAGATTTATTAATGAACAGAAAACAGAGTGGTAAATGCCACAAGAGTCATTGCCTATGTCTCATATATTTCAATGACTTGAATTAGGGGCCATGTGAAGTATATGAAGGTTTCTGACAGTACAGTGTAAGCTGTGAGGAGGAGGAGGAAGAGAGGTTGCAAAGGGATTATACGCATGTAAATGGGCAAGAAAGTGTCAATGGAGCATCTTGTGAGGAAGTATGAAATTATCCACTTTGGGTGGAAAAATAGAAAAGCAGATTTTTTTAAATGGCAAGAGATTGAGAAGTGTTGGCATTCAAAGGAAATGGGTGTTCTTCTATATGAATCACTGAAATTTAACATGTGCTTCAAGCTAATGCTCTGCAGCCTTTGTTCCAAGAGGTTTGGAGAATAAGAGTATAATTGCTGAGACCACATGTGGAGTACTGAGCAGAGTTTTGGTTTCGTAAATCAAGTGAACAGCATGCTTACCTTAGTATGCAATAAAAATGTGTAAAATATTTAAAACTCTTAAGGGGCTTGATAGGGTAGAATTCTTGGGAGGATGTTTCTCCTGACTGGGGATACCTGAATCTAAGGATGAAGTCACAGAATAAGGGACCAGCTATCTAGGATTATCATGTGAAAAAAGTTCTTCACGCAGTGGGTTGCGCATTTTGGAATTATCTATCCAAGAAAGCTGTAAATGTTCACTCAGCGAATAGTTCAAGTCAGAGATTGACAGATTTTTCAAACAAAAGGAATTAATGATATGGGGACAAGGGTGAACAGATGGAGTTTTAAGGTAGAAGACAGGTCATATGGTAGGGCTGGCTTGGAGAGCCTACTTGATCCTGTTTATATTTCTTAGGCGAGTCTTGCAAATAGGTGTAGATTATTTTAAAAAGCCTTTATGACTCTTGCATTTATGAATATAAACATTGAATACAAAAGTAAGGAACTGGCTTAGAGGCTAATCCCATTTCTTCAGGCCCATATTTTTGCACACACTTAACTTAGAAGTCAGCTGTCCCCTCTTTCCAACCATGAGTAGCTCTCCTCATCTTAGTAGTCAGCCTCATTTTACATTGAGTAAAACATTCATTTGTACAAAGTAACTTATAAATGATTGTAAAGAATTAAGCAGGCGTTGCAGGCTGTATTCATAGAGTCATCTACTACAGAAGAGACCCTTCAGCACATCAAGACTGTACTGCCAAAAATATACTACTACCTACACTGGTCCCACTTTCTCGCACAAGACCCATAACCTTGAACATTATGACACTTCCAGTGCTCATCCCAGCACTTTTTTAAAATTGTGAGGATTCCTGCTTCAACTACCCTTCCAGGTAGTGCATTCCAGACACCCACCACCATGTGGGTAAAATCTTTTTCCTCAAATCCCTTCCAAACTTTCTGGCTTTCTCTTTAAAATTGGAGTTTTTGTTCTTGAATCTTCAACAAAGAGGAGTAGGTGCTTTCTATTCACCCTGTCCATGCCCCATAATCGTTGACACCTCACTCAGGTGTTCCCTCAACTTTCTCTGCTCCAAAGAAAACAGACCAAGCTTATCCAGCCTCTCTTCATTGCTGAAATGTTCCATCCCAGGCAACTTCCTGATGAATCTCCACTGCACTTCTCCAGTGCAATCACATCCTTCCTATGGTGTGTTGATCAGAACTGCATACAGTACTCCAGCTGTGGCCTAATCAAAATTCTGCACAGCTTCAACATAACCTCCGTACTCTTATATTCTATGCCATGACTGATGAAAGGCAAGTGTTTCATGTACCTTCATAACTACGTTATCAACCTATCTTGTCACCTCCAGAGGTCTGTGGACAAGCACCGCGAGAACCCTTGGTTCCTCTGTGCTTCCTAGTGCCTTGCCATTCATTGGATTCTCCCTCATCTTGTTCCTTCTTCCAAAGTGCATCACTTCACATTTATCAGGATTAAATTCCATCTGTCACTGATTTGCACATCTGAACAATTTGCCTGTATCCTCCTGTAACCTTAAATCTTCTTACCAGCTGTCAACCACTTGGCCAATCTTTGTGTCATCCGCAAACTTACTTATTAGCACCCCACATTCTCATCTACATCATTTCTGAATATCACAAACAATAAGGGACCCAGCACTAATCCCGGTGGTATGCTACTGCACACCGACTCCAGTCACACAAACAGCCCTCTATCACTACCCTCTGTCTCCTGCCACTAAGCCAATTTTGAATCTACCTTGCCGAGTTACCCTGGATCCCATGTGCTTTTACCTTCTTTATCAGTTTCCCATATGGAACTTTGTCCACAGCCTTACTGAACTCAATATAATGTGGAAGCACATTAGCTGTCTTCCAGTCCTCTGGGACCTCTCCTAAGGAGAGAGACATTTTAAAAATTTGGGTCAGGGCCCCTCTAATTTCCTCCCTCATCTCCCACAACAGTCTGGGATACAACGCATCTGTACTTGGAGATGTGTCCACTTTTTAACCCGCCAAAATCTCCAATAGGCTTCTTATATCAATCTGCACAAGAATTTCATAATCCATATTGTCAAATCCTGTGTTGTGAACTTGTGCAGGAGTTTCAGATACACTCAGAGCCAAAATGCTGAATGTCAAAGATCTTACCCACATTCATGGTTTACGTTTTTTATTTGGCAGACAAGTTGGTCCTCATTCTTGGAGGGATTTGTTGAAGTTTCAGCGGTTCACTTATATGCAGACGTTTACAGTCCTTATTAAGTTAATTTAAGAGGCTTGATGGCAGAATAAATCATCCACTTGAAAGGTTAACTTGGATTCTGTCTCAACAAGGTGGTGCCTGGCCTGCTGAGTACAACCAGCATTTTCTGCTTTTATTTTAGATTTATAGCATCTACATAACTTTGCTTTTTTTTTGTTAAAGTTTCTATACTCTGTGGTGCTGAAAGCTGTAAAATCCCATCTGAGCCAAAACCAGCGCGAAGCGGTTCACCTCTCAGGACTTCATAGGATTGAACCTGACTGTTGCTAACCAAATGACACCAGTTGCACAGAGCTCTCCACAGGACAGCAGATTATCCAATCAGACTCTGATTCCGAAACCAACCCTGAGAAACTATCCAATCAGACTCTGATTCC